GTTTTCAACTATATGAAAGAAAAAATGTACAGAATTGCCTGCAGTTATTATTCTCTTTCTCTCTAGATACTGTGTTTTCCTGGGTTAAATCAGGTCACCAGACAAGTATACACTTGTACCATATTGTTCTGTATCCCGTACAATTTCTTTTACTGAACTGCAATTATGTGTTATGCTACTGGTTCACACTGAAAAGAGTGTATGAGGTCCGACCCTATTTCACACATTTTAGTTCTTGAAGGATGTTGTTCATTTGATGTGAGCCATCTTTAGGAGGACCTCAGGGAGAATTTGCACCCTGCTCTCAGTTTTGAGAATAGTGCTTTTTCTGTTTTTGTGTTAAGGACACTCTTATTCATGTAATGGATCACGTTGCCCTGTTTGTGTGACAGCTAGAAAGTAGAGAGCTAAATTTTGGGTCTACACTTGTAAGACCAAATCAATTTCTTTATTGACTTCATTATTCTTTCTTTTTTCCTTTTCTTTTTTCACTATTACTTATCCATTAGGCCTAATTTTATCATGTATTTCAAAAGCTTTGGAGTTTTTTTATGACACTGCGGTTTTCCTTTATATGAGTAAATAATCAGAATTAGCTGCTTTTGAAATTAGCTTTTAAAAGCCAAATAAACTTGTTAGAAGGAGCTCTGGTAGCATAGTACCTAAGGCACTTGACTGCTTACCAGAAGGCTGGCGGTTCAAACCCACCAGCCACTCCTAGGAAGGACGGTTGGGCAATCCTACTTCCGTAGTGATACTGCCTTGGAAACCCAAGGAGGGGTCGCTATGAGTCGGGGCTGACTCGACGGCAAACAACAACAACAAACTTGTTAGAATAGAAAAATAGGACAAGTGTGAATTTGGTAAGTCACTTGATTTGCATATTAAATTATTTGAAAAGCAGTTATTGTTAAAAGTATGTTTGAATTTATCCCATTTCATGTATGATTATTGCTTTTAAACATTAGATGAAATGTCTTTTGGTATCAAGATAAAAAATTTATTTTGGAAGTTAAAACAAATAATGTAGATTCCCCAAATCTTTCCTGGCATGAGGTTGAATATAAACTAATAAATATTAGAATTATAATGCTTTTAGTTATTTCAGGCTGTTGTTGTTGTTGTTGTTGTTATGTGCTGTCGAGTCGGCCCCGACTCATAGCGACCCCTCCTCGAGTTTCCAAGGCAGTATCACTACGGAAGTAGGATTGTCCAACCTTCCTTCCAAGGAGTGGCTGGTGGGTTTGAACCGCCAGCCTTCTGGTTAGCAGTCAAGTGCTTTAGCCACTATGCTACCAGAGCTCCTATATTTCAGGCTAGCAGTGGTAAAAAAATCAGTTTTATGGATATACGTTAGAATTTTTATCACACATAAATTCAATTTATGTGATATACATTAGAATTTTAAAATATGTAAAATGAAATTACATGCAGAGTTTTTTGTATTTTTAAAGACTGAGCTCAGAATCTCCCAAATAAATTTACATTTCATGCTTAGTTTTGCTCGATACACAAGCATGTTTTTAACCAAAGTAAGTTTATCATGATGTTGGACATATGTTACATTACTCTTTGCTTAAAATAGTACTTCAGTTTGAAGGAAATATTTAATTCATTTTGATTTATAATTTTATCTTAAATCATTTGTATATTTAGATTGATCTGTGCTTTATTTTAATAGCAAACTTCAGAGTGTTATTTAATTAAGGCTGTAAATTTTACATTTCACATAGTTCTATAAAATGATTTGAAAATTACAGGAACTAATGAAGTGGCACTTGATTCATCTTTTTTCATCTTACTCTTTTTCTTTAGCCTGAATTTGATTGTTTCCCTGGAGAATCATCTTATTTTGAAATGTTTACCTATTTCTTGAATTCTAGATAGTAAACATATTAGAATATGGAAATGGATTAACAAAATATGAATTTTTCAGTTAATAGAAGTGAGTATATATGTCATTGGGAGCTCTGGTGGTGTAGTGCCTAAGGCATTTGACTGCTAACCAGAAGGCTGGTGGTTCAAACCCACCAGCCACTCCTTGGAAGGAAGATTGAATAATCTACTTCTGTGGTGATACTGCCTCAGAAACCCAAGGAGGCGTTGCTATGAGTCAGATCTAACTCAGTAGCAGTGAGTTTGAATATATGTCATCATATATGCATGTATTCATTGGAAATACTATTTTGATATAAGTCAAAATACATGTGGAACTTGCCAGATGGAATAAACAGAAATCAAATCAACTACATCTATGGAGAGAGACGATGAAGAAGCTCAATGTCATTAGTCAGAATAAGGCCAGGGGCTGACTACAGAACAGGCCATCAGCTCCTCATATGCAAGTTCATGTTTAGGCTGAAGAAAATTAAAACAAGCCCATGAGAGCCAAGTACAACTTCGGGCATATCTTACCTGAATTTAGAGATCATCTCAAGAATAGATTTGTCACATTGAACACTAATGACTGAAGACAGGATGAATTGTGGGATGACATCTAAGACATCATATACAAAGAAGGAAAAGGTCATTAAAAAGACAGAAAAGATGAAAATGAATACCAGAAGAGATGCTGAAACTTGCTCTTGAATGGATTGTAGATAAAACAAATGGAAGAAATGATGAAGTAAAAGAACTAAACAGAAGATTGCTAAGGGCAGTTTGAGAAGACAGAGTATTATAATGAAATGTGTGAAAAGCCGGACCTTGGCATTTCTTAAGCAAAAAGAAAACATTAAACCCTTGACTTGGAACATTGAAGGATTCTATGATCAAAATATTGAACAATGAAGAAAGCATCAACAGAAGATGGAATGCACAGTCATTGTATCAAAAAGAATTGATTGACATTCAGTCATTTCAGAAGGTTGCATATGGTCAAGAACTACTAGTAGTGAAGGAAGAAGTTCAACCTGCACTCATGGCATTGGTGAAAGATAAGGTCTAGGAATTGATGAAATAGTAAATGAGAGGTTTCAAGAAATGAATGTAGTGCTGGAAGTACTCACTTACCTAAGCCAAGAAATTTGGAAGACAGCCAGCTGGCCAACCAACTGGAAGGGCTCCATATTTCTGCACATTTCAGAGAAAGGTGATCCAACACAGTGTGAATATTTTTTAATAACACCATCAATATCACACATGAGTGAAATTTTGCTGAAGATAATTCAAGAACAGTTGTAGCAATTCATTGACAAAGAACTGCCAGAGATTCATTTTGAATTCAGAAGAGGATGTGGAACAAGGGCTATCTTTTCTGATATCAGATGGATCTTGACTGAAAGCAGAGAATACCAGAAAGATATATACCTGTGTTTTATTTACTGTGGGAAGGAATTCAACTACAGGGATCCTAACAAATTATGGATAACATTCTGAAGAATGGGAATTCCAGAACACTTAATTGTACTTATGTGGAACCTGTACACAGATCAAGGGGCAATTGATTGAACAGAAAAGGAAATTGTATGATTTAAAATCAGGAAACGTGTGTGTCACAGTTGTATCCTTTCACATATTTACTCAGTCTGTATGGTATGCAAATAATCTGAGAAGCTATACTATATAAAGAAGAACGTGGCATCAAAATTGGAGGAATAATCATTAACAACCTGTGATATGCAGATGACATAACCTTGCTTGCTGAAAGTGAAGAGGACTTGAAGGCACTTAACTGATGAAGAACAAAGACTGCAGCTATAAAGAAAAAATCCATTCAGCTGGACCAGTAAACAACATGATAAACAGAAAAAATACTGACATCAAGGATTTCTTTTTACTTGGATCCACAATCAATACCCATGGAAGCAGCAGTCAAGCAGTCAAATGACATATAGCACTGGAAAAATGTATTGCAAAAGACCTCTTTAAAATGTTTAAAAGTTAAGATCTCACTGTAATGACTAAGGTGCACATGACCCAAGCCATGGTATTTTCATTCACTTCATACGCATCCAAAAGCTGGACATTATCAGTAAGGAAGATTGAAGAAGAATTGATACATTTGAATTCTGGTGTTGGTAGTGAAGAATATTGAATATATCCTGGACTACCAAAAGAATGAACAAATCTGTCTTCAAAGACATGCAACCAGAATGTTCCTTAGAAGTGAGGATGGCAAGACTTCATCCTGTGTATTTTAGACATGTTTTCCGGAGGGACCAGTTCCTGGAGGAGGACATAATGCTTGGTAAAATAAAGGGTCAGTGAAAAAGACCAACCCGTCAATGAAATGGATTGACAGAGTGACTGCAACATTGGGCTCACACATAGCAACAATTTTAAGGATGGTGCAGGACTGGGCAAGGTTTTGTTCTGTTGTACAAAGGAACATACTCAGTGATACCTAACAACAGAAACAGCAGTGGTCGTTTTGGTTAGACAAAAGATGAAGCATTTCATGCAATACAATAAGAGTGCATAGGGAAAATCTGTTGCTAATCTATTGTTACTAGAACCTTACATCTCTACTGCTGAACATGATAATGGATACCATGTTAAAACACAGTGAATATAGTGAGTAGTGTTGGCATCAGTGTGGCAAGAAATCATATTTCTGGAAAACTATAGTTATGATCATGTGTTAAATAGATTATAATGCACTCGGTTTAGCCTCCTCCACCTCAATGCTTCAAAAATTAATTAATTAAAAAATTAGAGATATTTTAGATAATAGTAAGAATAAGAACCCTCACTAGGGCCTTGAAACTTCTTTGAATAATTCCCCAATATTAACTAGACTTGCTTTATTTTGTGCCACTTTTCTAAGAGAATAAATATATTTGTCATATCTCTGGTACAGAGCTTTCTGTGACCTGGCTTTTAGCTTAGCAAAGTGCTTTAACTTTACAGTTTCTGAATTTTCTTTAAACATTAATAAAGTTCACTAGAATCATTAGTGATCTAGTAATGGCAAACATTATATTTTTATTCTTATAATGTATCCCTAAATAACTTTTGTACTCAGTAAAACTTCTTAATATTTTCATATATTCTTGCAGGGTTTATGCTTGAACCAGATCCAGAGCATAGACCTGATATATTTCAAGTGTCCTATTTTGCATTTAAATTTGCCAAAAAGGATTGTCCAGTCTCCAACATCAATGTAAGTACTTTTCTAATATAAACTTAAAGTTCATTTCATCATGTGTGGTTATATATGTGTGTGTGTGTGTGTGTGTTTATTTAGAGTTCCTAGTTTCATGAGAAGCATTCTGATAGTGTGGTTGTGCTTTAGTATTTTTGGTGTAAAGCCCCAGTTCCCAAACTGCATTGAGGTACCCTGGGAGCTGCAGTAGACTTAGGGCATTGCAAAGTATTTTGAATTTTTAGAGAAACATAGTGACACTGCATGAACTATTACTGTTAAGTTGTTTGGACATAAGCACTTAATAAACAGGGCTTCTTGATTTTTTATTTTTGCCTGGTTGTGCTTTGAAAAATTTCTGAGATACTAAGTACTCTGTAAACTGAGACAGTTTGGGAAACATTAGTGTCAAGAAGAACACAGTCATTTAACTGGAGAGACCTGGGTTCAATTCTGTCTTTATCAGTGACTGATGATTTTTTATCTTTTGTGAAGTTATTTAGTCTCAGTTTCTTTTTCTGTAACAGATGGATAGTGATAGGTTACAGCAAATGAAAATAATATATCTTGGCTCAAAAGTAAATAAACAATACATAGATAGTGATAAAAATTAAAATAATAAACAGCCCTGGGCCTAGCCCATGGAAGGTGCTCAGTTTGCAATAACTGATACCATTCAGAGGCTTTGACTTCTATTCTGTTCCTGCACAGTGTACTTAACTGCCTCAGATGAACTCTATGTGGCCAGTCTTTCCCCATTTCAAGAAGGCTTGCTAAAATTATTACTGATTTTAAGCCATTCTCAACTTGGGAAAGATCATTCTGGCCTGATTTGCTTTTATCGGCTTTCCTTTATGTAATCCACAACATTAAAAAGAAAAGAAGGAGGAAGGTGGTGGCTTTCTTTTTTGTTTACCATTTCAGTGTAATGTTCGCATGGTTGAAACTTCAAGTTATACAGTTCTAACATTCTAGTAATGAAAATAACTTTTATTCATCGTTTAACTAGATTTTTAGCTTTTCATTCAATAAACATTTATTGAGTCCTTACTATGAGCCAAACACTAGGGATAACAGATGAGTAAAGGCTTCTGCTCTTGTTTTCTTTACCCTTACAGGCAATGTCAAAAAAAATTATCTGTACTATTTATAAACAACCATTTACTCATATACTTACAGTTTGCTGCTTTTTGCAAAGTACAAAATAATCATTGATTTTATAAGAGCACTGTAATCTTTTTACCCAAGATTTACCCATTTGTAAAGTAAACACAATGATGATCTTCTTATTTTCCAAGGATTACTGTGGAACATGAATATGGAAGTGACATTTGTATAACATGCAATATTTGCAGATTATATCTGGCATGTAATCTAAGGTGAAAATAGTAGTGTTTCACAGATAATATTTTTTAAGTTAAAGAATATATCAGTAGTTTTATAAAAAGTTTTCTGCAATTAAAATAAAAACTAAAATGGAAGGTTTTATTTTTTTCCTCCAAGAATTCATCTATTCCTTCGGCTCTTCCTGAACCGATGACTGCTAGTGAAGCAGCTGCTAGGAAAAGCCAAATAAAAGCAAGGTAGGGAAAGCTGTCCTGAAATTTGAATAGACCCTTTTATGAAAAGTTTAACAGTTCTTATTTTTTATCTTACCAGATATCATTGATTAAGTATTAGTTTCACCGATAAAAATGTTGTGTTGGTTATTGCATGTTGTATAGGGTTTAGATAACTATTTATATTGGATACAAGATTTGACGTCAGTCCCACTTGAACTGCTCACAGCAATAAAGAACTGATTATTTAACAGGTGATGTTATAGTGGGTCTTTTTATTGGGGTAAAGTTACCATTATTTTCATCACATGGCAACTCTAATTTGTGAAATTTTATGTTTTGAGTTTATAGCAGAGCTTCAAACCAGTTCTTCCTAGTTCATTCATGGCTGACAAAGTGACACTGAAATGGTCACTTTTAATTTGTAAAATGTGGGTGAACTGGAACAATAACTGGAAGGAGAAAAACATGGGTCATCTCCCTGCTAGAAACTTAATTTCCCTCATAGCAAAGCAAGGGCTGCATGCAGGTTGCATAGCAACCAAATTTCTTGACTAGTAGAGTCAGAAACAACAGTGCCTGGCTTAAAGATGGCAGTTGACCATGCTGCTTTGAATGTGTGTTGCTCTCCACAGGTTTGGCAGTAATCCAGTCTCCTATATCATGCTCACTGTTCTTCCAGTTTTCTCATTCTAGTGCATTGACTCATATTTTTTCCTATTCTTATTATTGATCTGCTTCACCCAAATTAAAAAAATTCAGTTCTATTACTCTATGACTTCATTGACCATGACTGAATCAGTTTGAACTGGTTCGAAGGTCTGCTGATAGCTAGTATGACTTTTTGTTTGTTTTTAAACTCTCGGGAAAAAAAATAGCTCTTATACGCAACAATTTCAGAATATTTAGAATATCTGTGTACTATGCAGAATTTGTCATTAATGGTAACAATTATAATATTTTTTGAGCCTGTTAAATATTATAATGTTTTATATCTTATTTTCCATAGTTAATTCGTGGCACTCTTGGCAGCAATTGCTTGGCTCTGATCATATTTGCTATCCTGTATTTTGTTACATTTTCACAAACACATGCTGTATCTTCCTACATGTACTGTAATTCTTTGAAGGCAGGGATTATCTTTTTATTCCCTGTAGCAGTATTTGTCAAATCTTGTGTGGCTTTCTGATAAATACCAGTAAATTTGCAACAGATAATGGCATGTTGGTAAAATAGAATAGGAAACTTGGATTAAAGGAAGTCTTCAGAACTTTGTAACATTTAGTATGCTTTTTTAGAGCTTTTGGTATACTCATGTGTATTGTGAATCTCTAAGAGCTATTTACACCATGCAAAAGACAGGGTCAGGTCTGGCCTATAGATTTACCCCATAGAGAATGGATAGATATATATGGAAAGATTTAACACAGTATTTCCCCAGTCATTTTTGTTTAGGGAGTATAGTTTTGAATTTAGTGCCACATCCATAATTTAAATTCAAGAAATAATTTATCATCATTGAAATGAGATAAAATTGATGCATACATGGTCTTTTCTTGACTTTCAGTTTAATTTTCTTATGACTTGTACCATCGTCATTCCATCTCAAACACAAATACTGTATTTAAAGACATTTCAATTAATACGTTACTACGATCTTAAATATTTTGATTCAATTTCAATTTATTTCTTCTTGTAAAGATAATTGTTAGCAGGGCTCCCTCTTGTGGTATATATCGAGATTAGGAAAGAACTAGATTTGTGCAGTGGTAAAGAAGACTTTATCCAAATTCGGCAGATGGATACTTATTAAATCATATGTATATAAAATTTCAAAATACTAAATCATTTGAAAATGTTCTAAGTAATAATAGTAGTTAAAGAGATTTTGTTGCCAATCCTTGTGAAGAAATGAACATATTAAAAAGCATTTGAGTATTTGTGTTGAATTTATAGATGGCAAAATTTATACGTAAGTTCATAATATTTAATTTTTTTTCTAAAGGGAAAAGCAGGTATCTGTGTCTTCTCAGTTATTTAGTATCTCTTGCTTTCAAAACTACTTAGCATTTGACCACCCACTTCTAAGGGAAAAAGTCCTAGTGGCATAAATTTTATATAATTTCTGTTTTACATTCAGTATTCTAAGTAAACCAAAGGTAAAGATTTAAGAAGTTGAATGTGAACAAGTCATTTCACCTGTAATAAATTTTGGTTTCTAGTGTTTTACACGCTCTGAAACAGTGTCTTTTCTTTCATAGGCTTAGTGTATCAGTGAGGGGAGGAAGACTGTTTCTTGTTGTGTCTTATTTCTCTGATGGGTTTAGAGAGTTGGCTCTAGATTTTGACTAAAACATTATGATAGGATTTCTGTTTGCTTTCTTTCAATCTCCTCTCCTCTCCTCAAGAGCAGTCTCTGGTACTGTGCTCTTCCTGCCACTTTTAGTGGCAGGCTATCAATGGTAGCATACTGTTTTAAGGGAAAAAGAATTAGGTTTATTTTGTTTACTTTCTTGTCTTTATAAAACAATACTTGAGATTGAGACTTAGTAGGAGACAGGAGAACTTCGTGATCATCAATAGAAATTAAAATGTATCTGATGAAATAGATGCTCTATAGAATAGTAAATTTGAAATAATCCGAATATATGGAATGAAATGTATTACTCTGTTGCAGAATAACAGATAACATTGGACCAACAGAAACCTCAATTGCACCAAGACAAAGACCAAAGGCCAACTCTACTACTGCCACTCCCAGTGTACTGACCATTCAAAGCTCAGCAACACCTGTTAAAGTTCCTGCTCCTGGTGAATTTGGTAACCAGAAACCAAAAGGTAATACAGTCTTCCCAGTCCCTTCCTCTTTATTGGTAGCTTAAATAAAATCTTTTATCATTCAGTTTTCTAAGAGTATAGGATACTGGCAAGCTTAATATTTTGAAGCAGATAACAATGCTTTGAGGAACTTTCTCCTACTCACTCTTACTGCCGTCAAGTTGACCCCAACTTAGAGCAACCCCTCCTTGGGTTTCTGAGGCAATATCACTACAAAAGTAGATTGCCAGTCTTCCTTCCGAGGAGTGGCTGGTGGGTTTGAACCTCCAGCCTTCTGGTTAGCAGTCAAATGCCTTAGGCACTAAGCCACCAGAGCTACCTATTTTCCTAAAGTTGTAGGGAAAGAGAAGTTACTGGCAATACAGAAGTATGCTACAAAAAGCTCACAGTTCTCTTTGATCCTATAAATACATATTGTTATCCTCAGAGTCATCAATTGATGGGTTTTTGTGGTTGGTAATAAAGTTCAAGGGTAAACAGAATTCTCTATTGCATTGAAAGGAGAAAGTTGAAATTGTAGCATTACAAAGTGCAACGTGTTTGCAGTGGATCTAGAGCCTTGGCAAAGGAGTATATCTTGAACCATGTGACTTTTACAACATAGAAATCATCAGATTTTGAGAAAAATTGTTTTTCTCATCTAATATATATCCTTGAATTAGTTCCCCCAAGGAATATGTCTTAAAATTAGAGGGTAAACTTGTTCTCTCAAGGGTCTCTAGGTATAACCTGAATGCTCACCTCACAGAAATCCTGTTTTACACCTTATTTCATAATATGTTTGGCTTTAATACTAAAATATTTTCAATAAAATTGTTTTTAATTAGGATAATGTGATAGTTAAGAGCCCATACTTTGAGTCTCATAGACCTGGGTTTGAGTCCTGTTTGTCCCATGTTTAGTAATATGTTTCATAAAAAAATGTTAGTACCTATCTTAAAGAACTGCTGTGAGGATTAAATGACTACTTAATATAGTTAGTATCTTGCACATAACACACCGTTAGGAAATGTCTAAGGCACTGATGGTTCAGTGGTAGAAATCTCATCTTTCATGCGGGGGACCTGAGTTTGATTCCTGGCCAATGCACCTCATGCACAGCCACTGTCTGTCTGTCAGTGGAGACTTGTTGTTGTTATGATGCGGAACAGGTTTCCAGAGCTTCCAGACTAGAAGGACTAGGAAGAAAAGCCCAGCACTCTACTTACCAATTCAGTCAGTGAAAACCCTATGGATCACAAGTGTCTGATCTACAACTGATCATGGGAATGGCACAGGACCAGGCACCTTTTGTTCCACTGTTTATGAGTTGGGGGCCAAATTGATGGTAGCTATCATTATTATTAAGTAACATGCACACTTGGAAAAGATCATGTTTATTTTTATATTACCTGTCACATTGCTACATAGCCCTGGAGTAATCAAGTACCCCTAACTAGAGGGGTGAAAACAAACAAACAAAACCCATTGTGGTAATACTGGATTCAAAGTCATTTGTGTTTAATTCCCAGTTTCGGTATTTCTCAGTCTCAGTGTTTTTTTTCTATGAAATGGGAATAGCAACTGCTTTTCTTACAAAATGGGAATAAGATTTATAGTATCTAGGACAGTTGTGCCTCAAAAATATTCAGTGTTAGCTTCTCTTTTTTCTACTTTTTTGGATTGGAGAGACTATCACTTTATCTGTCATGTGTCAGTGTCCTCCAGCCAAACACCACTAGATAACAAAACTATAGTTTGAACACATTGGGTTTACTACTCTCACCCAGTGAGCAACTGTGGGGCATCTCAGTAAGATGGTGTTTGAAAAGACTTACTAAAGGATTTGAACTTAAGTGTTTCAGGAAGATTTAGAAGGTGGACTTTGTTCTGGATTTCATACTGTGTTAGGAAATGGGAGAAATCTTTGATTAGATACATTAATTCACCACTCATCTGTCAGTTTGTTATAGTGTTGTGGCTTGTGTGTTGCTGTGATGCTGGAAGCTATGCCACTGGTATTTCAAATACCAGCGGGGTCACCCATGGTGGACAGGTTTCAGCAGAGTTTCCAAAATGAGGCAGACAAGGAAGAAGGACGTGGCCTGGTCTACTTCTGAAGAAAATCAGCCACTGAAAACTTATGAATGGCATGGAAACATTGTCTGATAGAGTTCTGGAAGATGAGACCCTTAGTTTGGAAGGCACTCAAAATAAGACTTGGGAAGAGCTGACTCCTCAAAGTTAAGTCAACCAGAATGACATGAGTGGAGTGAGGCTTTTGGGACCTTCATTTGCTGATGTAGCACGACTCAAAATGAGAAGATATAGCTGCAAATATCCATTCATAATTGAAAAAAAAGGATATAAGAAATGTGAATCTAGGGAAATGAAGTTGTCAAAACTAAATTGAAATGCATAAAGGTCCTAGGCAATAGTGACCAGAAATGGATTAGTACTGGCCATTTTGAATCGGATAGTCTACTATACAAATGACAAATTGAAGAGGACTGGCGTTGCACTCATCGTCAAAAAGAACATCTCAAAATCTATCCTGAAGTACAATGCTGTTGAGGATAGGATAATATCCATACTTCTACAACGAAGTCCCCTTAATACTACTGTTAACCAAATTTACACACCAACCATTAAAGCCAAAGATGAAGAAATTGAAGATTTTCACCAACTTTTGCAGTTTGAAATTGACCAAACATGCAATCGAGATGCAGTGATAATTACTGGTGATTACAACTGGAAAGTTAAAAACAGAAGAAGGATTGATAGTTGGAAAATATGATCTTGGTGATAATGGTGATGCCAGGGATCGTATGATAGAATTTTGCATGACCAACGACTTACATCTTTTGCAACAGCATAAACAGAAACTATACATGTGGACCTCATCAGCTGGGTGAATACACAGAAATTAAGTGAACTACGTTTGTAGAAAGAGACAATGGAGATCTCAGTATCATCAGTCAGAAAAAGACCAGGGCCAGCAATGGAATAGAGCTTTAACTGCTCATATTGCAAGTTTAAAACTGAAGCTGAAGAAAATTGCAACAAGCCCAAATATGACCTTGAGTATATCCCAACTGAATTTAGTGACCATATGAACAGTAGATTTGATGCATTGAATACTAGTGACTGAAGATGACCAGATGAGTTGTGGGATGAATATCAAGGATTTCATACATGAGGAAAGCAAAAGGTTGTTTAAAAAGACAGGAAAGGAGGAAAAGACCAAAATGGAAGTTAGAAGAGACTCTGAAGCTTGCTCTTAAATGGATAGTAGCTAACATGAGTGGAAGAAATGATGAAGTAAAAGAGCTGAACAGAAGATTTCAAAGGGCAGCTTGAGAGGATAAAGTGAAATGTTATAATGAAATGTGGAAAGACCTTGAGTTGGAAAATCAGAGGGGAAGAATGCACTCTGCATTCTCAATCTGAAAGAACTAAAGAAATAATTCAAGCCTCCACTTGTGATTTGGAAGGATTCTATGGACAAAATATCGATCAATTCAGGAAGCATATAAAGAAGACAGAAGGAATACACAAAGTCACTGTCCCAAAAAGAATTGATTGATATTCACCATTTCAGTAGGTAGCATATGATCAAGAACTGATGATCTTGAAGGAAGAAGACCAATCTGCACGGAAGGAATTAGTGAAAAACAATGCTCCAGGAATTGACAGACTACCCATTGAGATGTCTCAACAAACAGGTACAGGACTGGAGGTGCTTACTCATTCTTTTTTTGTTTTGTTTTGTTTTTTTCTTTTATTGTGATTTGGATGAAAATTTACAGAGCAAATTCACTTTCCATACAGCAGATCACATACAGTTTGTCTCATGACATTGACTACAATTTACTACAATGCAACAGCTCCCCTCCCACTTCCTCCCAAGAGTTACCTCTTCCCTGTGTCTATCCCTCCATGCACTCCTGCCCCCTGAGCTGTCTCCCTGTGCATAAGCAGCCCTTCTTTCTCCCGTGATTGTTCTCTCTAAGGGGTGTATCTACCTCAGGTAAATGTTCAGCTGATATGCCTGTCTTTTGTTTGGATGGAAGCCACAGGTGTGGGTTCAATTCCAGATCTGAAGGGCAGCTAGGGGCCGTAGTCTCAGTGGTTCCACCAGGCTCTATCAGACCAGCAAACCTGGTCTCCCTCCCACCTTTTTTTTTTTTTTTCCCAAATGATTTTGAGTTTTGTTCTACATTGTTCTCCCTCTCTATCCAGGATCTCCTACATAGGTCCCCCGCTGAGTGGTTGGCAGTGGTAGCCGGGTACCATCTAGTTCTTCTAGTCTCATAGTTGGATACGCTGTGGATCGCATGGTGTACCAGTTGCTAGGACTAATTGTTTCCATGAATCTTTGGTTTTCTTCATTCCTCTTTGCTCTGGACGAGGAGAGACCCATTGTTGCATCTAGATGGCTGCTTGCAAGCTTTTAAGATCCCAGTCGCTGCTCGCCAAAGTAGGAGGTAGAACAATGATTTGTGTAGTACGTTATGCCAATTGAGCTTGATGTCCCCTGCGACTATGATCCCGAGCCCACAGGTTGAACTTCTTGGTCCCTCTGGGTAGCTGGCTGTGACCAAGAAGTGACTACAACCTTGCCCCTTGTCAGCTCTACTATATACCTGGGAATTCAGATCATACAAATACACTTAGGGTACCACTGTCTGCCAATCCTAAACACGGTCTAGGGTACGCTCCCTGCTTCATAGACATGTCAACTTGTTCAGTCTGTCCACCCATCTATCCACTCGTATACCCATGTTTGCCTTCACTGACAATGCAATACTGTATATGCAGAAGGGTTCATCTTTGTTGTCTGTACCTCCCATGTACCTCTCTATGTCTTTCTCTTCCTCAATGCCACCATGTTGATCACTCACATTTGGCACATTGCCTTTCTCTTCACCCTAAATCAATACTTATCTCTACCTATCTAACAGTGTTCCCTACCCTACCCTCCTACCCCTGGTAACCAGCAGAAAAATTTTCCTTCCATA